ATGGCAGTCCCAGTCAATGCTTACAAAATTAAAATCCCCTACTATTACAACCTTGTAATTCTTAAATATATTTGCTTCTCTATTTCCCTCTGCCTATTGGAGGCCTATAGTACAATTCCACCAAGGTGATCTTCCCTTTCTTATTTCAACCCATGTATTTTCGTTAAATGATCCCTTAGAAAGGGATTCTGTAATTACAGTAGCAGTGTCTTCCTTAATCAAAAGTGTATGTAGAATGAACTGCCAAAGGAAGTGGTAGATGCAGGTACAGTTACAACATTTAAAAGACATTTGGACAGGGACACGAATAGGAAAGGTGTAGAGGGGATATGGGCCAAACACAGGCAGGTGGAACTGGTTTAGTTTGGGAAACTGGGTTGGCACAGACAAGTTGGACTGAAGGATCTGTTTCCATGCTGCATGATTATGACTTTATAAGGACGTTAGTCCCATTGTGGTTCAGGTGCAGCCCATCCCACTTGTAGAGGTCCTACCTTTCCAAGAAATGGTACCAGCAATCCAGGAATCTGAGACCCTCCCTTGTGCACCAACTGTTGAGCTACACATTCATCTGCCCTGTTCTTCTATTTCTGTGCTCGCTAGGGCATGGCACTGGGAGTATTCTAGAGATTACAACCTTTTAGGCCCTGCTTTTTAAATCTGCTGCTTTTCTCCCTGAACTCTTAATGCAAAGCCCCATCCCTTATTCCAGCTATATAGTTGACACCAACGTGTACCTGTCTTATCACCCTTCCCTCCAGGATGCCTTGTGCCCACTCAGTGACATCCCTGACCCTGAGACCGGGGAGGCAACACACCACCCTGGAATCACATCTACAGCCACATAAACGCCTGCCTGTTCCCCTAAATAATGAATCCCCTATTACTATCACTCCTCATTTCTTCTTCCTGTCCTCTGTACAGTGAGGCTGCTTATTGGCTGGTAGAAAATCTGTCCTAAATTTGAAAAAAAACTGTAAAACTAATGAATAAATAATTAACTAACCAGAAATTACTAATAAATTAATTTATCTAAGTAGGGATGGCTGTAGCTGTACAATCTGGGAGCTGGCCGATCCCATTGTGAGCTGCAGTGACCACATCTGCAGCAAGTGTTGGTTGCTGGAGGAACTTCAGCCCAGAATTTTTTTTTTTATACATTCATGGGATGACGGCATTGCTGGTTAGGCAGCATTTATTGCCCATCCCTAATTGCCCAGAGGGCAGTTAAGAGTCAACAACATTACTGTGGGTCTGAAGTCACATGTAGGCCAGAACAGATAAGGATGGCAGTTTTCTTCCCTAAAGGACATTCGTGAACCAGGACTGGGAAAATCGGGTTGGTAGTGGATCACAAGAAAGGGAATTTGTGGAATGTCTATGAGATGGCTTTTTGGAGCAGTGTGTTGGAGCCTACAGGGGAACAGGTAATTCTGGATTTAGTGCTGTGCAATGAGTCCGACTTGAAAAGGGAGTTTAAAGTGAAGGAACCCTTAGGAGACAGTGACTATAATATGATAGAATTTAATCTGTAATTTGAGAGGGAGAAGGTGGAATCATATGTAACAGTATTACAGTTGAATAAAGGCAACTACAAAGGCATGAGGGAGGAGCTAACCAGAACTGACTGGGAGAGGAGCCTAGCTGGAAGGACAGTGGAACAGCAATGGCAGGGGTTCTGGGAATAATTCTGGAGATACACAAAAATTCATCCCGAGCAGAAAGAAGCATACTAAAGGAAGGATGAGGCAACTGTGGCTGACAGGGGAAGTCTGGGACGACACAAAAGCAAAAGAGAAAGCATATAATGCAGCGAAGGGCAGTGGGAAGCCTACGAAGACCAACAGAGGACAACGAGAAAAGAAATAAGAAGGGAGAAGATTAATAATGAGGGTAAGCTAGCCAGTAATATAAAAGAAGAATACAAGAGTTTCTTTAGATATATAAAGGGCAAAAGAGAGGTAAAAGTGGACAGTGGGCTGCTGGAAAATCATGCTGAAGAAGTAGCAATGGGGAATAAAGAAATGGCAAAGGAACTGAATAAGTACGTTGCATCAGGCTTCACAGTGGAAGACATGAGTAACATCCCAAAAATTCGAGTGTGTCAGGGCAGAGGTGAGTATGGTGGCCGTCACCAAGGAGAAGGTGCTAGAAAAACTGGAAGGTCTGAAAGTGGAGATATCACCTGGACTAAATGGACTACACCACAGAGTTCTGAAGAGATAGTGGAGACATTAGTGGTGATCTTTCAGGAATCACTGGAATCGGGAAGGGTCCCAGAAGACTGGAAAAATCGCTAATGTACCCCCCCAACCCATGTTTAAGAAGGGAGTAACGCAAAAGATGGGAAATTACAGGCTGATTAGCCTGACTCTCAGTCATTGGCAAGATTTTGGAGTCCATTGTGAAGGATGAAATTTCTGAATACTCGGAAGTGCATGGTAAAATGGGGCAACGTCAGCATGGCTTCATCAAGAAGAGGTCATGCCTGACAAATCTGTTAGAATTCTTTGAGGAGTTAACAAGCAGGTTAGACCAAGGAGAACCAATGAATCTTATTTACCTGGATTTCCAAAAGGCCTTTGACAGGAGGTTGCTAAGTGAGATAAGGGCCCATGGATAGAAGATTGGCTGTCTGGCAGAAAGCAGAGTGGGGATAAAAGGGTCCTTCTCAGGATGGCACCAGTGACTAGCGGTGTTTCACAAGGGTCCATGTTGGGACCACAATTTTTCACTTTATACGTGAATGAGCTAAATGAAGGAACTGAGGGCATTCTGGCTAAGTTTACAGATGATACAAAGTCAGGTGGAGGGACAGGTAGTATTGAGGAGGAGGGGAGACTGCAGAGGGATTTAGACAGGTGCGGAGAGTGGGCAAAGAAATGGCAGATAGAATACAATGTGGGCAAGTGTGAGGTCATGCACTTTAGTAGAAAGAATAGATACATAGACTATTTTCTGAATGGTGAGAAAAATCAGAAATCTGAAGTGCAAAGGGATTTAGAGTCCTAGTCCAGGATTCTCTTAAGGTAAACTTGCGAGTTGAGTCGGTAGTTAGGAAGGCAAATACAACGTTGGTATTTATTTCGAGAGGACGAGAATATAAAAGCGGGAATGTACTTCTGAGGCTTTACAAAGCTCTGGTCAGATCACATTTAGAGTATTGTGAGCAATTTTGGGCCCCATACCCAGGATGGATGTCCTGGCCCTGGGTTCAGAGAAGGTTCCCAAGAATGAAAGGCTTAACATATGAGGAATATTTGAGGACTCTGGGTCTATACTCAATGGAGTTTAGTTGGATGAGGGGGGAATCTAATCGAAACTTACAGAATACTGAGTGGACATTGGGAAGATGTTTCCAATGGCAGGAGAGACCAGGACCGAGGGCACAGCCTTAGAGTAAAAGGAAGTCTCTTTAGAATGGAGATAGGGAGAAACCTCTTCTGCAAGAAAGTGGTGAATCTATGGAATTCATTGCCACAGAAGACTGTGGAGGCCAGGTCATTGAGTATATTTAAGACAGAGATAGCAAGGCTTTTGATTGTCAAGGGGATCAACGGTTATGGGGAGAAAGTGGGAGAATGGAGTTGAAAAACTTATCAGCCATGATTGAATCGCGAGCACACGCAGTGGGCCGAATGGCCAAATTTCTGCCTTTATGTCTTATGGTGCCAGAAGCCTGGCTCAGAGTTCACTCCCTTGAGGAACCAAACCCTTCATCAGTTTCCAAAATGGAAAACCAATTTATGAGTGGGACTCCTGCACTGCCTACCTGTTTCTCTTTGACTGCCTGGTATTCACAGATTCCCTTCATTCCTCCAGACCTTTGATCTGTGGTGCCACAACTGTCTCAATGTGCTAAGTCTCAGCCTTGCTGACATGCCACAGTGTCACCAGCTGCCTTGAGCTCCGAAAGCCAAAGTGCACAGTTCTGCAGTAGGCAGTACTTCATGCACGTGGTCATCTAAGACTCAGATAAGATCCATGACTTCCTACATATGACAGATCACGCTTTCCACTTGGCTGCCCTCACCTGTGATGATTTGAACTCAAACTTAGTCTTTCTAACTAACTTTTCTAAACAATTAATCTAAAATGAAACTCTCCTTACCTTTAGTCTCCTTTTGTTATTGTTATTTTTTCCCTGGTTTTTCAGTTAATCTTGAGATAATCCACTTTAACTACCCCTCTCAATCCCCTGATGACATGTCCATCCTTGGCCTGCTCCACTGTCAGAGTGAGGCCGAATGTAAACTGGAGGAAGAACACCTCATATTTTGTCATGGCAACTTACAGCCCAATGGCCCAAATATCAACTTCGCCAGCTTCAAAATCTCTCTGCCCCCAAACTATCCATCTTCTGACTCACCAATCCGCTCCGCCCTTCCCACTGACCAACCACAATGAACTCCCACCTGCATCACCTTCAAAATCTCACCGCCCCCCAACCCATCATTCCTCCTACTCACCTACCCACTCCATCCTTCCCATTGACCAACCACAATAAACCCCTACCTGCATCCACCTATCTCCATCTCACCTACCTTCAGCCCAACCCCACACCCCTCCCTCTATTTCTTTCTGGGCTCTCCTCCTCCTTCCCAGTCCTGACGAAGGGGTTCAATCCAAAACATTGACGTTCCTGTTCGTTGGGTGCTGTCTGTGCTTTTCCAGCTCTACATTTCTTGACTCTAGCTTCCAGCATCTGTAGTCCTTACTGTCTGGAACAGGTGGGACTTAAACTTGAGCCTCCCGGTGCAAAGATACTACCACTGCATTACAAGCATTAGCTAGCACGTTTCAAGACTATCAGACATATTGAAGCACTTTACAGCCAGTGAGAATTTCTTGGTGTAGAACACTGTTGAACTGAAGATATTACAGCAATTTGGAGACAGAAAACTCCCACTAATAAATGTTATTATTCTTTTGCCACTTTTAGATCCCCAGGGTGAATTCCCCTCCTCTTTGAAGTAAGGTCATAAACTATTTTACATATATTTGATTTTAATTTATTTATTGTCACATGTATTTTGTTACAAAATACAGCGAAATGTGTTGTATAGCGTTGCCACTTTACAGCACCATCTTAAAACACAGAAAAATAAACAAGAACATCGAACGTAAAGGCAGAAAGATGAAGAAACAAAGAAAAAGTGTTCAACTTTACAGTCCTTCTTGTTAACTGCTCCATCATGGGCCTGATAATCAGGCACAAGTTTTCCTCGCTGCACCACTGCTGAAATGAAAGTCTTCAATACCATTTCGCCTCCACTGATGCCCTGGCCACTATGAATCCTCGATGGACCTTGCTAATGCAGATGCCACTGATGCTTGCAGGTACCACACCACCCCAAACTTGACTCCACCACTGCCACAAATCCACTTCAGGCCCACCTTGCCAATGCAGCCGGGTCTCTTACTGGGCCCAAACTCACCTCCAGCACCACCTCCACGAATCTGCCCTGGACACGGACGCAGATGCTGCCAGGAACCCAAACTTGCCTCCGCCGCAGCAGCCATGAGTCAGTGCTAGGACCACCTTGATGATGCAGAATCCACAGGAACCCAAATTCGCCTCCGATGCTGCCACCATGACTGAGCTCTTCAAGTGGTAAGTAAAAACAAATAAGAGAGAGAAAAAGAAAAGAAACCAGAAGAAAAGTAGACGGAGCGGACGAGCCCTGGGGTCAGAAGCCCGACTCCACCGCCATCTTATCAGAAGATTTTATGTAAGTGTTTGTCAAACATACCATATAATAATCTGATCAATATAACCGGGACTCAGAATAGTAGGGTCACTGTAAGCTAGGATAAAGATGTTCCCTTAGGGACCGAAAACAGATCATGGTACACGGTTCTTTTTCAGACTGGAGGGTGGTACAAAGTGGTGTTTGCCAAGGTTCAGTGCTAAGACCACAGTTTCTTTATAATATCCAAATTTTTTAAATCTATAATGTTGAATAAAATTTCAAAATAACGATATTAACGTTGGAAGTGCGGCAAAGAATGAGGATGAAATGATTACCTACAACAGTTCCTCAGTTCTGAGGAAGGGTCACTCGACTTGAAACGCTAACTCTAATTTCTCTCCACAGATGCTGCCAGACCTGCTGAGCTTTTCCAGCAATTTCTATTTTTGTAACTACAACAGGACGTAGGCTCGCAAAATGGCAGACAAGTGACAGATCGAATTTAATGCAAAGAAAATCAGATACGATGCACTTTGGCAGAATAACAGGGAGTGCCAATTATATATTCGATACACAGTTCCAAACTGCAAATGGGTCTAAGGGTCCATTTATACAGATCTTTGAAGATGAAAGGACATATTGTGAGTGATTAGCAAAGTCTATGAGATCTTCAGCTTCATTAATAAAAAATTTGTACAAAAATGAGGAATTTATGCTGAAACTTTATAAACCTCAGGTTAGGTCACAATTGCATCAATTTGTGGACATTACACTTGAGGAAAGATGTAAGGATCCCTGGAAGATGTCAGAAGAGATTTACCACAGTGGTTCTATGGATGAGAGATTTTAGCTTCAAGGTCAGATTGGAGATGGTGGGGTTGTTCTCCTTGGAGGAGAAGAAATTTGGCAGAGGTGTATTACTATAGCTTTGAATAAGACAAACAATTAAAGGCTGTTTCCATTTTCTGATGACACAAGGAATAACATTTGGGGCAAGAAATTCAAAGAGAGACATAGGAAAGAACTGTTCTACTTCTCAAATGATAATGACCTGGGACTTTTGCCAATGAAGTTAGTAGAACAGCCAGTTAATCATTTCAAAAGGAAACTGGATGAACACTTTGAGGGAAATAAATTTGCATGGCCACAGAGGTAGAGTTGGGGAATGGAAGTGATTTGAACTGCTCTGTGGAGGGCTTGCATGTTGCAAAGATACAAGGCATGGGTGCCATGTTCCCTTTGACTTTCAAGCAGCACATGAAGGGGCTGAGACACGTAATGATGAGGTTGATGTAGTCAAGAACATGGTTACAATCTAACCCTGCCAGCCCCTCTGACTGACTCAACATCAACACAGAAAGGATGTGTAACCATCGTTGCCCTTCCATCAAGATGTGAGGAAGTCTGTTGTGGTGTTTGTGTATGAGGACAACTGCCATGAGCATCCCAGTTGACTTCATCTCAACCTCTACCATAGGAAGTGCACTCAGTTAGTTTAGTCAAGAGAAAAGTGTGCCATGTCAGCAGTACTGGCACACTTAGTTGATCTTTACTGTGGTTGTGATTATGGAAAAGAATTCAATGTAATGAAATGGTTAATGTCAGATCCACAATTCTAACAATTGATGGCTTTAAGATTCACAAATAACGAAGTAGGGATGGACACTTTTGAAATAGAACAGTTTGAGAATTGTCATGTAGGCAATGGGGAAACAGAGGAAACATTATGCCTTGTGCACTTCCTAAATTTGCTCATTCACTTTGGAAAAAGTAAGTTTATGGTCATTTGACCTCCAGTTTGAAGGGCTCGAAGAGAAAATTGGCTGAACACGTGTGGGCCTAGCTCCCTTTCCATCCCCCTTGCTGTGTTGAGGACTCAGCCAGACCCGTGGAGGACTTCACAAGGTTAGATTACCCTGGTCCTTCTTAACCCCCAAGGCAGTACCTCTCCTCCAACTCTCCTTCATCAAGATCCCACCTGATAGGAGGGTTATTCTTTTAAGAGTGCAACAGACCACTCCAATTCAAGAATCCTTGAGTGACTATACTGGAAAACATCCCCTAATCTGTCTACCAGAACCAAATCTTGAGGACTACAATGCCTGCTCTATGGTAGCCCTGGTACTGAGATGGAAGGCTACTGAAGCACTTCTGTGCCTCAACTGGTTTCATAATAGTTGTTAGCAGACATCTATTTAATGGATTGCTGCTGGAGAAATGAGGGCTATCTGCCTTATTAAGTGATTCTTCAACAACATTGGACTATAGGATTCAGGAAGCCCAGTTGTGTTGGTGTACCAAATAGGGACAGCATCACCTTTGTTCCCTCCCTGCCTTGTGCACAACAGCTCGATATGCCTTAGGACCAAAGGCTCATAATTACTGCAGGAATGGCTGCTCATCATCATTGTTTATCTCCAAATCTAAGCTGCTTAGCTCAATATCCAAAGATGGCTTTTCCTTCCTTCAGAAGGACGATCATAGCTGCCACCAAACCGCACTAACCCTTGTTCGGTCACTCTCCCCATTAACACTATGAGGCTGCATACTCTATAGCCACTCCACCTCACTAACCCTTCCACCTTTTATGCAAAGTTAAATTGTTTCATCTCCATGACTGACCATTATGCCTTGCAGCTAACTCTTATTGTGATGCATAAGCTAGGAAGTTTAGGATCAAATCCCACTGGAGCTGGAGGTATCAAGTCATTACGATTAAACAAAATGTTTAGGCTGTGGTGGTAGTGTCCCTACCTCTGGGGCAGAAGATTCTGATTAAATCCTCCTGGCCCAGAAGGCAAGAAGCTTAATGAGAAGTAGTAATGAAACTGAATCACACAATTATCACAGTGCAGAAGGAAGCCATATGGCCCAAGGTGCCTGCGACAGCTCTTCAAATGAGCATCATTACCTGTTGCTAATCTCCTACTTCCCCACACCCCACACACCCCTATAACCTTGAACAAAACTTTTTAAAAATCACATCTGAAGTGGGGCTTGAACCCAAGGTTTCTGCCCAGATGCAGGAACACTAGCACTGTACGACAGAGCACCCATATCTTTGCACAGATTTTCTAATCAGCCTGTTCAGAGACGTGACTGTACACCTCTGCAGCAGGGGGGACTTCAACCTAGGCCTCCTAGCTCAAGAGCCCACCTCATATCCTGTAAAATGTTATTTTCTCCTTCAATTATCTTTGATAGAGATTTTAATCAACCTGTCCAGATGTGTTATGGTAGCCCTGGTACTGAGGTGGCAGCTGTCTGCACCAGGTAAGATTTGAACACAGGTCATTAGGTCCATAGGCAGGGACATTACTACTGCACTACAAGTCTCTCAATTATATCTTTACATAACATTTTTCTAAACAACCTGTTCAGAGACATTATTACACACCTGTGGAGCAGGGGAACTTGAACCTGGGACTATTAGTCCAGCAATAGGGACACTTTTTTCCTTACACTTCCAGAAGTGCTATCACACACAAACAAACACACAACCAAATTACCATAACTTTCTTTTTCCCTGCACTTTTTTTATACCCAGAAGTGCTATCTCACACAACTAAGTGACCTTCCCACCACTAAAATCACCATGACTGTCTTTTTTTAAATTTACCGACGACCACCACCAGTAAAGTAAAACACCCGTTTTAGATATTAGATGTTTACAAGCAAAGGCCATTATTGGTGATGCAAACCATCAAAGCGGAGGTGGAAGGGACACCAGGAAGGGGAAGGGAAAGGGAAAGGGGAATAAAGTTGCTGGAAGAAATGAAGGAGTGTATCCCCTGCGGTGCCCATTTCTCTCTAAAGTCATTGGAGAACACTGATGAGACACCCAGCCATTAACCATATTCTTACACATTATTTCTTTCCATGTGGCTCGAATACCTCAGTTGAAGCGGTTCCCTGGCCCAGAGCCAGCTCCCGCTCAGGAACGTGGCTGGGATTCAGGACCGGAAATCACGCGGCCCTGTGCGGCCAGTTTCTTCCTCCGGTGAGAGGTCGGAACCAAACTGCGGCGGCAGAGCGGCTGTCAGGGCCCAAGAGCGGGAACAGGATGGAGGTGTAAGTTCTCCTCAAATGTTTGCTCCAGTTTTTAAATCAACGTTTCCTCATAAAAATCGCTAGCAGCGTTTAAACGGAGTCGGGTGTCCGGCACGGGGAGAGAAACAGAAACTACGGCTCTCTTCCTAGATTTTCCTCTTCATTGTTTTTCAGTCTCTCTTTTGGATTTCTCGCCGATTTTAGAAAACCCGTCTTCTGTCTTTTTCAACACTTTTCTTTCACAACAGATAAAACTTGTTCATTTTGGTTGTCCTGTGTATGTTGTGCAAATAGCCCGATTTTTGTTTTGGTGTGAGTCTCTTATGTCTACTGAATGAATAAATCATTTATGCAGCTCGGGAAGTTTGGCCAAGCAGTGATGGTTTGTGAGGTTATGAATTGTGCGGCAAATAAGAACGAAACACAGGAAAAGTCTGGTTGGACTCAATACCCGTTTGTTTTATTTTGGTGCAGTATATTCAACGTGTTGCAGACCATGCGTGTGGTTGAAGGGACAAGCAATGTCAGTATTGCAACACGTTAAAGCAGAAAGAGCATGGGCCGCAGAGGAGAGATGGTGCAGCAGGAGGTGTGGAAAATAGAGACTTTAGAGCAGCTGTCAATGTGAGAGTTTGGAACAGGGAGTGTGATGAGACTTCAGTTGCAATGTTCTCCATATAAATAATTTACTTTGTCTCGCATAATTGTGGAAGGGAGGCAAGGGATTGGGGAACGGGGAGCTGGATGGTGGCGGGTATCTGTCGACGATACATTAATCTGGTTGACCATATTATAAGGGAGTTAAACTCCGTTAATTTGAATATCCTCATCATGACCTGCTTACGTCTCCCAACGTCCTCACATCACCTTTCTGTAGTAATCGCAGTATTAGTGACAGTCACTCACTTCCCATACATTTTTCTTAGCTCCCTTTTTTAAAAGGGAGCATGATTTTTGTATCTGTCAGCTACTTCCGTTTTCTCCATCGCTCTGTCCAAGGCCGTTTTTCTTGATTTGTGTCTGTCCACGTGAGGAATAATGTAGAAATGCAAGTTATACACTGTGTGGATGCATTTAAGGGGTTTCTCAGATAGCAAAACGGAAGCTTAGAATAGAATCATTACCACGTGGAAACAGGTCATTCGGCCCATCGAGTCCGCACCGACTCTACCGAGAGCATCCTCCTACCTTATCCCTTTAACCCTGCATTTCAGCACGGCCAAGCCATCTAACCTGCACAACTTTGGACTGTGGGGACGAAATCTTCGCAGACACGTGGGGAACATGTGAACTGTACATAGACAGTTTCCCAGAGCTGGAATTGAACTCGGATTCCTAGTGCTGTGAGGCAGCGGTGCGGATCACAGCCACCGTGCCCGCTCCTATCCTTAAATTATATCGGGGATAAGTGCACATGAAAAATTGAGTTTTTTTTTCTGAGAAAAGAGACAATCTTACAGCTGTTTTGTGGAGCTAAAAGTGAAGAACGTTAGGGGACTGATGGTTTGCAACATGATATTTTAAAGAAAATCTCTCCAATGTTTGATCTCATTTATGATTCTATTGATAAATTAGACCTTTCATGTTTATAAAGTAAGTTCAATTATAATTGTATTGGGAATTGATTACTGAGAGTAACTGTAAACTGCACCAATTTCAATTGTGACAATCGGGTTTTCTACCCTTTTATACACAATATATTTTTTAACAAGTGTATTAATAACCAGCTGACAGTTATACACTGTCCTGATTATTGAATTATCCACAATAAAATTTTAAAATGTCATGTAGAGAATCCTATATTTGATGAACATCAATTTCCACCTAAAAATTTTCAATTCTGATTTTCTTTTAAAAGGAGTGCATTGACTATTGGAGTTGGGGGTCATGTTGTGTTTGAACAGGCTGGGGCAATTCTCCCTGGAGTGTCAAGGCTGAGGGGTGACCTTATAGAAGTTTAATAAATCATGAGCATTGATAGGGTGATTTGTCTTTTCCCCAGGGTAGTGGAGTCCAAAACTAGAGGGCATAGGTTTAAGGTGAGAGGGGAAAGATTTAAAAGGGACCTAAGGGACAACTTTTTCATGCAGAAGATGGTGCATGTGTGGAATGAACTGCCAGAGGAAGTGGTGGAGGCTGGTACAATTACAACAGTTAAAAGACACCTGGATGGGTACATGAATAGGAAGGGCTTAGAGGAACATGGACCAAATGCTGGCAAATGGCGCTAGATTTATTTAGGATATCTGGTTTGTATGGACAAGATGGATTGAAGGGTCTGTTTCCGTGCCCTACAACTCTATGACTGTATAATATGGCATTTAGTACAAGCACTAAAGTTAACAAAAGTTATACCTTACAACAAAACAATCCCCTTTTTAAATACAAGATGCTAAAATTAAAGAGCAGAGATTTGAAATCTTTTATCATAGTTTGGCTTCCACTTGTTAATGCCACCCCTTGTATTAAATGTTGATGGATGAGTAATAGGACCTTGCAATTCTTTATAGTGCTTTAATATCAAAATAAGGTCTAACAAATTTAAGTGGTATAATAAAACAAAAATGAATGTTAAGCTGAAGGAGATTTTAAAAGGATTGTTAGTGGGTCAGATTTAAAGGAAAAAAAAAGAGAAAGAGGCATAGTTTAGGGAGGGAATTCCAGAACATGATGACTGGACAATTGAAATACATGGCTACTGATGTTTTATCAAGAGAATTGGGAGTGATTATACAAGTAGCCATTTCAGGGATGTATCATATGATCGGAATTGATTCTAACTTTGAGAGGCAAGGCCACGTAGGGATCTGAATATGAGAAGATTTTTAAACTTGAGGCTTTGGGAGCCAATGTAAAGTCAAAGCCAAGAGGATATGTAATTGTACAATATGATGGAACTCTGATGAAAATTCACCTAGACTCGAAATGTTAGCTTGCTGTCTCTCCATGGATGCTGCCTGACCCACTGTGATCTCCAGCATTTGTTGTTTTCAGTAATGGATATCCCATTGGGCTAGTAATCCAGAAGCCTGAACTAATAACTCAGGCAACATCCACAATTTAAATTCATTTATTATTGGCAATAAAATGCCGTTCTTGTGAGAATCCCAAATGGTTCTTCTTTCCCCTATGGCTAAGTGATCTGGTGATTTTTTTTTTTCAGCAGGTGTTGATGACAGTTGCTTTGTAATGGAGGAAGACAGCACTTGAGGAGAGATGACCATTTACAATGGATAGTTAATTTTGTAGAAATTAGATCACGGAGCAGACATTGGATTTCAAATTTCAGCGATTCATCAATCAGCATTTGCTTTTATAAAGGGCAAATCAGACAGAGGCTGCACACATTGGCCTTGCACACAGTGGCTCAGTGGTTAGCACTGCTGCCTCACAGCGCCAGGGATCCAGGTTCGATTCCACCCTAGGTTGACTGTCTGTGTGGAGTTTGCACATTCTCCCCGTGTCTGCATGGCTTTCCTCCAGGTGCTCCGGTTTCCTCCTACAGTCCAAAGGTTTGCAGGCTAGGTGGATTAGCCATTCTAAATTGCCCATAGTGTTCAGGAACGTATAGATTAGGTAGGTTATAGGGGGATGGGTCGGTGTAAGTCGGTGTGGACTTGTTGGGCGAAAGGGGCTGTTTCCACACTGTGGGGATTCTATGATTCTATGATTGATAATGTAGACATTCACACAGATGCTAATAAACATGAAAATGAGGAAGTTGCTGTCCAAGTTATGCTGCTCCTATTCAAGCTTCACTGCACCGTACTTCATCAGTTACTCATCAAACATGCCAGAAGAAGGTTGAGGCTCGTGGATTCAAGTGTCAGTGAATTTTTAGTGAATGGATAAGGGTTACTTATAACTGAAAATTTAGTTTCATAAATGTGAAATTTAACTCCTTTAAATTTTAATTATTATTGGAGATTTTTTTAAAAATTACATTTTTTCTGTCCCTTTTTATTTTTCTTTCTACAGATAAACTTTGCATTGAAATCACTTCCACCTTATACATTTTACTTTAGTTTCTGCATGTGTTAGTAAGGATTTTAAAACCTGATAAAAGAAACATGTTTTTGCTTTTCTTGCTGACACATCCCAAATATCTTATAGAGGGCAACGTGTTGTCTTAGTTTTCTAGATACCATAAATAGCAGTTTTAAAGCCCAAAGAATGTCTGTGGGCAAATATTAATTATGATTATGCCCCTCTCATCCATTGCTGATCAGAAAATTCGGACCAATGGGTTTTCTTTCATCAAATGAGCAAATTTCATTTACTTAATGCTGTGGCCTAGTTTCTTGTATTGTACCAGGAAGATTAAGTTTTTTTACTCCTCTTTTATGACCAATGACATCGAATTTGATCTACAAGTCTGCTCCCTTATAACATTTTGAAATTTGTAATAACACCTCTAACTATACTAATTATATTTTATTTTGAGGCAGAGAAATCAGCACTTGTCACAGTAAGAATTGCCTTATAGGTGACCAGACCACTTACAATATTTTAATTGTTGCATCATCAAGATGCCCCAGTCAGCCACAGAAATCACTGTTAAGGTTATTTATGCTTTGGAATTTGCTTCATGTTGGTTTCAAAAGAATGGTTGTCCCAGAAATAACTTTTTAGTTTTCCTAAGTGAACAACTTCATACTGATTACCACCACGTGTGACAGAAATTTGCCTCTTTGATAGATTACTTAGGATATGTTGTCTTGTGTGACAATGCCATCACTTTAAAAAGGTTATTTTGTCCAAGGTTTTTTGAAGAGAGTTTGTAAAAGCAGAGGTACCGAAGTGGCTATGCGATCCGGCCTAAGACAATAGGTTAAGAGGCCTTTAGGCTTTTTTAAAGCAGTTGGAGCAATGGAAGGGGAAAGGCCAGTTCTTCCAGATCAGGCTTTCTAGTTTTTTCTTTAGGTGTAGCAGTTGGAAGCTGTTTATGCCCCAGAAGGGTTGCAAACTTCAGTAAATGATCCCTAACTGTGACTTTCTCTTGATGTTGTTCCCTCCTGGAT